ATCTCTCTACGGAATATTAGGTGTAGTGGAATACTTTAAGTAAAGTTGTCTTTTATTATTGAACTGTTAGGAACCTCCTAGTTCATATGGTCTTGGCGGCTTCATTGGCAACAAATAATGCAAATGACATAGCAATGGGACATTTCCAAAAAGCAAAAATACTGTAAATTGGCTGTTATGTATATATTGTCGTTTACATATTGTTAATCAACGTATCTTATAAAGGATTATGTGATCTAGTTTAAAAGGAAAATGAGCTTTCTGTTCTGATAGTAGCTACTTAAATATCATTTTCTCTTTGCACCATATTTTACAGCCAAAATGTCGTGTTATTTTCAATAATGTTACCAACCCAGTGCGGCAAAGTCCGTAATATAGGCCAGGTGCAAATGATTTGTCAAGATGGGTACCATTTTAGGCAAGGTTTCTATGTTTAGATTTTATTAGACACGATAAGAGCAGATATTTCTGCATAAATATTTGATATGTGTAGAATAATATGATAAAACTAGCTAACCCGGCGAACTTCGTATCGCCTAAGTTATAGGTTTCCCCTAAGACAGACCGATGGAAAGAAAGTACCGTTACGTTTAATTTTCAAGATGATCTCGTTCGCATCGCTCAATCACGTCCTGGTTGAAGTTCGTTCGCTACGCTCACTCACCTTTGGGTTGGAGCTCGTTCGCTACGCTCACTCACCTTTAGGTTGGAGCTCGTTCGCTGCGCTCACTTGCCTTCAGGTTAGCTCGTTCGCTACGCTAACTCGCCTCCAGGTAGAAGTTCGTTCGCTACGCTCACTCACCTTTGGGTTGGAGCTCGTTCGCTACGCTCACTCACCTTTAGGTTGGAGCTCGTTCGCTGCGCTCACTTGCCTTCAGGTTAGCTCGTTCGCTACGCTAACTCGCCTCCAGGTTGAAGTTCGTTCGCTACGCTCACTCACCTTTTGGTTGCAAATTAGCTGTTGTCATAAATGTAAAAGAAATAATAGTGCTGCACCCTGTTGGTAATCCTTGTAACTTTAATGCTATTGAACATCATAGAACAGAACCAACTTGTTTAATTGAAACAGCTGTTAAGATTCATTAATTCCATTTCTCATAAGGTTAACATGGGAAACTCCAGAGCCACTGGGGCGGAGCCCTTTTAAGAATTTCGAAACGGGAAATAGTTTACGTCCGATTCGCATACCTACAGAATTTACACACCAAATTTCATAACGATCGGTGAAGTCGTTCCGGAGGAGTTTGCAGACAAACACTGTGACACGAGAATTTTATATATTAGATGTAGGCAAAAGTGGTGAAAAAGTCAGACACCAACCCGTACAATAGATATTTTTAAGATAGTTCAAAAAGACATACTTTAAGAATAAGAATTGCTGTGATGAAAGGATTTTCCACTGATTTCGTAATGGAACGTTATATTGCAAAACATGACATGATAAAGAAGAAAATGAATTTTAAAATCAGAAAGTAACATTGCAAGTACTGATTTGGTAGAATTCAGTAACTCCCAATAAATATGTGTTGTTTTAAATACAATTTAAAAATGAACAGCTGTTTCAAAGTATTAATTACATGGCCAAAATGTAAACAACTTTGTGGAGGGATCTTTAAAGGCTTCTGGGGCAGAGTCCTAAGGGATTTTGCTTAGTTTTTCTTTTGATAACTCATCTACAGACCAAGACCTTTCTTTGGACACCTCTACCAAGTTTCTACGCCCAGCTGTTCTCTCAAATAAGTGGGGATAAATTTTCCAATAAATATTTAGATCCCCCCACGTTAATCTTATGGGAGAAACTCCAACTTTGATGGCCTGTGGGGCAAAGCCCGAGGATTTTTATTACGGGAATTGGTGAAAGGGGGCGTCTACACAAAAAATACTTTATTTTGACACTTCGTTTGTAAAAATCCGTCAATTATTAACGGAGGAGTAGTGTTTTGTAGAAATTGCCTTCACGTATTATATATAAGGATGTTTTTTTTTTCATTTATAATCGTTATTATAGACCTAATGCGGCTATGAGTGGGGAAAATTTGTAGAAAACACCAAAAAACAAGGTCAGCTTTTGAAAAAAGATAAGATATTTACAAATAATTTTGATTATATCTAACTGCTGTGTACATCTTGGGTATTTCCACAATCTTTGAGTCGACTCTTATAAAGTCATCGGAAATTATGTTTTAACTGTAATGCTTCGCAATTGCTCGAATTCGAGCAACAGGTACACTAGTCTATATATTAATTTGAAACCGTTTGCCTTTGTCATAGCTATTTTGAGAGAACGGCTGGGTGTATAAAGAACCTCGGTAGAGCAGGTGTCTAAAGAAAGGTCTTGGTCTCTAGATGAGCCATTAAAAGAGAAACATGGTGATTTCCCTTGGGGCTCTGCCCCAGTGGCCTTTAAATTCCTATCCCATGTTATTCTTATGGAGGAAAACGGGGTTTTTGTCATAGCTAATTTGAGAGAACGGCTGGGCGTAGAAACTTGGTAGGGGTATCTAAAGAAAGGTCTTGGTCTGTAGATGAGCCATCAAAAGAGGAACGAGGGAAATTCCCTTGGGGCTCTGCCCCAGAAGCCTTTAAAGTTGCCTCTTCAGATTTGTCTACATTACGACCATATGCATAATTCTACACTACTTTTTAATGAAACAGCTGTTAATATATAAATTGTGATTTATTGAATTTGGCAAAATGAAGTACAGTAGCCTATTTGCAATGGGTTTTTCTGATTTTAAATTGGATTTTCTTCTGCATCGTGTCATGTTTTGCAATAATGTTCTATTACCAAATCAGTGGAAAATTCTAATATCACAGTAACTCTTAAAATTATTTCTTTTGGAGTTAACTTATATCTATTGGATGGGTTGGTTTATGCCTTTTTTACCACTTCTTGGGGATTGTACGTAGGTGATATTCGTTGGCATATTGCATCTGTAGAGGAAACTTGGGTTGGTGTAATTATTACAATGTAAAAGAGCGAGAAATCCTGGACAATTTGATATAGGCTAAAAATAAAACCGAATTAACACTGTTCTACATTTCTTGAGCAATCATTGAAATAATCGATTTGCAAACAATGGAAACATAGAAAAAGTCATAGAACACAACCAAGTAGAATAAATAGAAATAATTTTTTCTTAAATTTATAATCGTTGTCATAGACAACCTAATGCGGCTATGAGAGGGAAAAATTTGTAGAAAACACTAAAAAAACAGGATAAGCTTTTTGAAAAAAGATAAGATAAAAACAAAAGATTTTGATTATATCTAACTGTTGTGTAGATCGTGAGTGAGTATTTCCATAATCTTTGAGTCGCCTGTAATGCTTCGCAATTGCTCGAATTCGAGCAACAGGTACACTAGTCAGCAAGTATTTTGATACATACTTTCTCCCATTAGCTTGTCAACAACCTTTATCATGGGTAAGCGATGAGAGTAACTATGATATTTAATAGGTAAAATCACAAAAGTTTCATTAACTTTTGAACAGTAATTTTAACAGGAATGAAGGGATGGACTATTTTTTTAGAATTATAAGGACAATAACAGAAGAATTTCAATCAAATTTTTTTTTTCAAAAATCCATTTTTTTTTAATGGGTTTTTATGGGAAAATAACATAAGTTACAATAACTTTTGAACCATTATTTTACAGTTGTGGGGGGTTGCACCATGTTGTTTGGAATATAAGGATTATCACAACTAATTTCAATCCAAACCGGTTTCTTTCGAAAATATGATTTTCTCTTCTTTTTTGGGGGTTTTTTAATGGGAAAATAAAATAATTTACAGTAACTTTTGAACTGTAATTTTCACAGAAGGGAGTTCTACCATTTTGTTCAGAATTTAAATATCTAAAAAACATACTTTTTTTCAAAATCGTTCTGGCAATTTTCGAAAAAAAAAATTTCCGTTATTTTATGAAAAAACAACATTAAAAATCAAAATTTTGAAAAAATACCTGGAGATACTATGGATTAGTACCTACATGCAAAATTTAATCAAAATCAGACTACAGGTGTTGTGGTCTGTAGCAGCTCTGTACACATCCAGACACACAGACACATACACACATAGACATCACTTGAAAACCACTTTTTTGGGTTCAGGGGGATCCAAAATGGATATATACAAAACGCAACTCAAAAATTTTGACAAAAACAATACTTTCTCCATATAGCCTACTATGTATAAGGGGAGAAAGTAAAACAGCATCTTACAAGTTTACAATAATGTAATCTATCAGTCAAAATGTTGATATTATAGCATTTATCAAATCAATAGTTTTATCTGAGGACTGGCAAAACTGTTATATATTACATTGAAATCAGTCTCTATATTTGAACCAGTCTTTGTTTCTTCATTATTCAGTTTAACAATATAGTTTCGCTGGAGTGTTGCCTAGAGTTCAGATCTTAACACTAGGCCCTAACCATAAAATAAACCATAGAGGCGAGAACTACTCTCCTTACTGTGATTAAACATACTCCTAACAGTCGACAATGCTTCACCTCGGTTTTTATTCTATGGCTTCAGTTCCAATCCCAGTCCCAGTGACGAGGGATTGGACAGGGAGTCCCATTCCAGTCCGTTGTAATTGCCATCCAATCCACTCACTCACTCCAATCACTGATTTGCAAGAAATGTAATTTTCAATGGGTCATTTCACTGCCCAAACAAGCAACTCAAGTATTGCAATGTAAAAATGTCTAGTTAATTATTTTTAATTTTTAATAGGAAATGTAATATATAAATATATAAGATTAGGGTACATATTTTAAAGCCCGCACAATGAAATCCCCAAAATCCAATCCCCAGAATTTTACCTCTAAGTCCTTCAATTACCCGGATTCTGGGGAATTCCCCCGAATTGACAACCCTGTTCAACACTACACCAACATTGTGGGGAGAAAAAACCTGTGTTAAAATTGTACAATTTATCTGGTTATCTTGCTCCAGACGAAATTACTTTAATTGTGGACGTTGCTGATGTTTCAGGAAGAGTTACACAAGGAACCCTCTGCCTCCCCCTCGGCCCAAGTCTCAGAGAATGGTCCGACGTTCCTCTCTGCCTCTGGACTTCTGCGATCTTGACGAGAAACTGATAAGCGAATCACCTTAGTCATCCCACATTGTGTTGTAGTTTAGTTTAAAATAAATTTAGTAGATTTGTATCATCATAAATAATAAATAAATACTTTATAGTATGGGTTCTTAAATTCATGTTTGTAGTTTGTTTTACACACATGGTCTGTGCAATATTGTTGGTTTAAAAATTAATCTTGTGGTAAAAAAAAGTAAAAATACAAGAATACATTGAAAACGGCTTCTTCAGAGTTTTATTCCTAGCTGCCTCTATTGAGAATTTTAAAGAATGCACTTTAACAATTTGTTGGAAATTGTATTTTCTTTCAGAATATCATCTTCCACTTTGGTAGATTTCCTCACTATTTAAAAAGAATTTGCAAAAAAAGTTAAACAACCCCAAAATATATAAAGGTGAGAAATGACGGAAGCCTTCGGGTATATTAGATAAAATAAGTTCTCTTTCAAAATCTTGGTCTGATTTTGGAACACATTTTCTGTTTGCCAGGCACCTGTTAAAAAGGTATTTTCACAAATGATAAATGCTTGGGGAAATGATGGAACCTTGATGTGAGAGTCGATTACAATAACATTAATTCAATAAAACAAAAACAAATGTGTCCAGTACGGTCTACGAGAGTCTGCAGCTGAGCAAGGAGCCTATTAGAGATGGGAATTACCGTTACTTTTGAGAAACGCGTTACACCGTTCCATTACAACTTGGTAACAGGTTACAGTAACCTGTTAATTTTATAACCTGTTACCGGTCCGTTCCTCCCCCACCACACCGTGACATCCAGGTGGCATCGCAGCCCCAGGCGGGCATGTAACGAAATTCTCGCTGGGTGTTATTGCTCTACCCTGTTACTGGCCGTATGTTCGTTCTGGCTCGGCTGGGCTGTAACGTTATTATTCCATTCCAGCTTGGCGTTACTCTCTGCGGGTGGTTTATTCGTTCCAGTTTGGCCGTAATGTAACGAAATTCTCGCTGGGTGTTATTGCTCTACCATGTTATTGGCCGTGTTCGTTCGTTTCGGCCCGGATATACTGTAACTTAATTCTAGCATTGGTGTTACCTAGCTGGACGTTTCGTTCCAGTTTTTCCATAATTATTGTTGGTGTTAATATTGCCACACTATGTACAGTTCTCGTGTACGTTAAATTCCGGCTGGAATGGAACGTTTTCTCACATTTTATTATTTTAAAGACTTTTTGTTGCTTTCAGGACTTTGATCCTGACGGAACCGGTACAGGAGTCCAATTCATAAGCCAATGAGCGCAGCGTTACAAAAATAACAGGGTATTCTGAGTAACGTGTTATCGTGATAACAGGTTACAATTTATTAACAGTGTTATTTACCCTGTTACGTTAAATAACGCCCATCTCTAGAGCCTATTTACCACATGACTTCGAAGGAGACAATGAGGACAGTGTGGTGTTGCCAAATCTAATGATACCAGCGTATATTTTAATTAGTGTCGAAAAGTGAAAAGTGAAAAATGCATTCTCCCACTTCTCTCTGAAAAAAAGTGTCAAAAAGTAGTGAACGGATTTTTGCATCGTAAATGAACACTGAATAGAGTTCCATTCACTTTTTTCAGATAATTCATGGTTTAGTATATCCATAGTCAAGAGGGGCATGTAGAGTTATCTATTTTCATTCAGAAATTTGGTATATTTATAGTTTTACAACGTATTTGATTGTATTTATGTATTTGATTTGGATCAAGACCTGAGTTAACTTTCTTTTGTTCAATCAGTTTACAGCAGCAAACCATTTTACAATGTTGACTTAATTTAGTACAAGCATTCTTGTAATCAACAAGATGGCAGGTATACATTCATGCAACAAGCAGGTACATTGTAAAGCAATGTAAGTCCAGTGTGAGTTCCCTTTCAAGAAAAGTATAAAATAAAGTATATCAAGCAAGTCTAGAAACACCAACAGGAGATGTTGTCCACCGAGAGTACCATAGGTAAAACATTATCTCTTATTAGATTTCTCACCCTTATGGATCGGCTAAAGACAATATTATTTTTCGTTCCGTCCGGTGCACTGTATGGGTCATGTTTTGTTTACAATTTGTTTCTTGTTATTTCAGTAATTAAAAACCTTGTTTAACCAATAAAGCAATCAAATCATAAACAATACTCGGCCCCTAGGTGATTGACATAAACAATAGACTTTGGAGGTTGCAAAAAGACTGGCCGATCGACATAAGGAGTTATCATAAATCATGCTAATGGAATGATTTTTTGGTTGAGTTATAGATAAGCAATCATAGCAACGTCAACAACTTATAGCTGCTACCAAAGCAAGGCCCCACTAGAAAAAGACCATGCTGCAGCGTGGGCAGCACAACACTATGGCTCAGTGGTGTATATTTAGTAGAACTAAAAGTTTACCATTAAAATCTGACAAATAGCCAGCTTGTTTACCGGTACCTAAAATATATGGGATATTGCAGTGAATCTATCAACAAATCAACCCACTAGTGTGATGTCATGGATCCTGCAGCATGGCCTGTTTTTCTAGTGGGGCCTTGTACCAAAGCCACAAAAGAATAAACTAGGTGGCGTTCGCAGAGGCATCCACAAAATTGAGCGGTGTCATCAAGGGTTCATATTATATTGTTTTTGTCATACTGCAGTAAAAACGGTCACTTTTAATGCATGCGTTGCGGGGCATTTTTACTCTTAAGGGAGTAAAAATTGTTTTTAGCCTCTATGGAGTAAAAATCAGCTGTTATCAACTCAGTTGTAAGCCTAAATTTCTATTGTAAACGATTGCATGTATCAAAAATATGTATCGATTCGTGCTTCGTAATTATTTTAACCTACAGTCTACAGTCTCTTCCCATAGCATTTTAGCATTGTAGATACATTAATCCATTCCCACACTCAACACTGCTCACCGTTACTACTTTACTTCACCACCCACTACGTCGTGGACCTGTTTCCCTCTCTTCCCATAGCATTTTAGGATTGCAGATACATTAATGTAATTGCCAATTACAGTTCCCACACTCTGCACTGCCAGCCTTTACTTACTTTCTTCACCACTTCCTACGTCGTGGGGCCTGTTTCCTTCCCTTCTCATAGCATTTTAGGATTGAAGATACATTACTCTAACTGCCACAGACGGTTCTCACAATATGCTCATACTTTATTACTTCCTAAGCTACTTCCTACATCGTGGACTTGTTTTCATCACTTTCCATTGCATTTTAGTATTTTTGTTACATTAATCTAATTGCCACAAACATTGTCCAAACTCAGCACTACTAGCCTTTACTACTTCTTTCGCCACTTTCTATGTCGTGGGCATGCTTCCATCCCTTCTCATAGCATTTCAGCATTGCAGATACATTAATCTAACTGCTACAAACGGTTTCCAGTTCCCACACTCCACACTGCTCACCGTACTACTTCCTCCACTTCTTCGTAAGTCGCGGACCTGTTTCCCTCTCTTCCCATAGAATTTTAAGATTGTAGATACCTTAATCTAATCTGCATAAACAGTCTCCACACTCCGGACAGTTGGCCTTGACTACATCCTTCACCACGTCATACGTCTCGGACCTGTTTCCCTCCCTTCCCATAGCATTTTAGGATTGCAGATACCTTAATCTAATCTGCATTAACAGTTCCCACACTCCGGACTGCTCGCATTTACTACTTCCTTCACCACTTCCTACGTCACGGATCTGTTTCCCTCCCTTCCCATAGCATTTTAGGATTTCAGATATACCTTAATCTAATCGTCATAAAAAGTTCCCACACTCCAGACTGCTCGCCTTTATTTCTTCCTTCACCACTTCCTACGTCACGGACCTGTTTACCTCCCTTCACTTAGCGTTATTAGATTGCACATACCTTAATCTATTTTGGTCATAAACAGATCCCACACTCCGAACAACTCGCCTTTACAACTTCCTTCACCACTTCCTAAGTCACGGACCTGTTTTCCCCCCTTTCCATAGCATTTTAGGATTGCAGATCCCTTCATTTAATCGTCATAAACAGTTCCCACACTCTGGACAGCTCGCCTTGACTACTTCCTTCACCACTTCCTACGTCGCGGACCTGTTTTCCTCCCTTCCCATAGAATTTTAGGAATGCAGATACCTAAATCTAATCGTCATAAACAGTTTCCACAATCCAGACTGCTCACCTTTACTACTTCCTTCACCACTTCCTACGTCACGGACCTCAAGCTAGTGTCGTCATTTGATTATATTTATGATACATACCGTTTCTGATCTAATATTTGTGGAATAATGCTATCAGTTGTTTCTTTATCTACTGCATTCAAAAGTCAACAGCTGATCATATGTTTTTGTTTATGTGTCAAATACTGCTTCCATAAGGATTACATTGAAACTTTGAGACCCAGTGGGGCGGATTCCTGAGGGACTTTTTAACGCCCTATAGATGTTGGCACTCACCGATATGGTCTTTATCACCATTCAAAATTTGAAAACTATTGATTCAGCCGTTTAGGAGGAGTACTGCTTCCATAAGGATTACATTGAAACTTTGAGACCCAGTGGGGCGGATTTCTGGGGGACTTTTTAACGCCATATAGATGTTGGCACTCACCGATACGGTCTTTATCACCATTCAAAATTTGAAAACGATTGATTCAGCCGTTTAGGAGGAGTTTGCGTATTACGAAATGCACAAGAGTCGACGTATAAGAGCTTCGCTCGCTCCGCTCAATAATCTTGTCAAAGCGATTGTTTCAAGGTATGGCTTCAATTAGTTAAAATTTATACTTGGAGATTTTACTTGTTATTGCTAGCTAGTTTATATGTTTATACTTAACAACTACTTGTAATATAATCATTGATGTACTTGATTACGGAAACCCACTTCAGTGTTCTATAATCCATGATCTTTATAGTTGAGCCAGTACAAAAATATATGTACTTTTTGAAACTTACATATCTTATTATACCATATGTTGTTTACTAATAACCCAACCTAGATAATAATAATCCACTATCCTGCTAAAAACCTTGTATGGGTTTAAAATAAAATTTGATGTAATGTTCAAGATTCCAAATTTAGGGTATAAATATGACTCCTCCAGTGTTAGTGTTTGTAGTGCCAGGAGTATTGTTCTTCTTGATTCAGATGTTACTTTGTAGGGCATACCACTTCCATGTGACAATGGCTGTGAAGAAGAGCGGCCCTGTGAAATCTACAAGGAGAGCCAATCCCAAGCCAAGGCGAGCCTGTGAAGATCATTTGGCAGATGATCATTCTGAACATGAAGGTTCATGTCCAGGGGAAAACTCTGCCTCTGTTACTGAGCTCTCCTCTACTCCGAGTGCAGGTAGATCTATTGGTTTTAATCTTAACTATTGGTTGGTAGTGTTTAATCAAAACATCTCTAATCACCAGAACAAGTCTCATTGCAATACTGCTACTGCACAATTCTTTAAATAGGCTAGTCTTACATTTATTGCATCTTAGGGCAATAAAACATTGAATTTGGGATTATGGGCCATTTACAGTTTTTATTTCCATGTTTTGGATTTTTTAGTGACAGTGATTTGGACGTGATAGAACTTTTTTGTGCAGTTGCACATGATTACAGAACAACTGTTTTCTAATCGTTAATACACACATGTACACACTTTTGGTCAAAATTAGCTTGTCATAGAGTATGTAACTATTTAATACTTATTTATTTTTTTTTATAAAAAAATACATGTAAAAAGCTAAGCAATATATAATAATTTATCACCACTACTTTGTTCACTAAATAGACAAAGCATTTATTACCCTAGTCATTGGACACCTTAACTTTGGATTTAATGTTGAATACAGTTCCTACGTATGACTAATAATTATGGTAATCTTTTTCTCATCAAGTAATTCAAATTTGTAGAAGTCTGTTAATACCTAACATATTTATTTCTTGGAATTTATACCTAGGTGCCCATTTCAAAGAAATACTTTTTGCCAAGAGTAGCCTACACAGTTTATTGTCTCGTAAGGCACCTGAAATTGTGAGATGGTGATTGAATAGCCTACCTATCCCTACAAAGTGCAAACCTTTGCATTTTGATGGTGTGGCAAACAGCGATGAGGGAGCAAAACTCTAAAGCGAGTAAATGGAATAATGAAACAAAAAAGTGAGACATTTGTATGATTAAACGAAAGATTTAGTAATGTGACCAAAAGTACTTAGAATTGGCTTTAAATAAAAGCAAAACAATGCAATGCAATATACAGGGTGGCTGAAAAGTAACTTTCATCATGATTTAGCCTCCGAATAACCAATATTTCAATAAAGTGGTTTAAATACCTGCATAAAAGTTATCCAAAATGTTGCTCACGGCAGCCGGTTTCAATCCACAATAGGGATCTTCATCAGGCCGATCAGGATGTCAAAACATTTTTTCTCTTCTTGCGAAGGTCGTCAAAAAGGCGTAAAAACATGCACATATAGTCACAAATTTGAACATTTAACATTGAAGACACGGCCGAAATTATTGCGACGACTCATCCCCGGCGAAGGTATAGTCTAGACTGCCGGTGGTCAGTGGAATCCAGTCGTCCAATCCTTATCAGCTGTTTCATTGAGGTCTACCCCCTCCATCCACACCCTTCAATACCTTGATTGCAGTGTCATAAATATAATTAGATGAAAATGACAGCTTGTCGTTCAGGATGTTCTGATGATCCGAGTTTACAGCTTTATATATTTCAAATTCTTCTAATGTGCTTGTCTGAGATCAGTCTTTTGAAGAGTGTAAAATATGCATGTTTCTGTGTATATCTGAATAATTATGGTTATTTGAAACGAGGTGGTCAGCAAAAGCAGATGTCTGGGTCATGGTTTTCTTGGGCAAATGTTCCTTGAATCTCTTTTTAAAGGAGCGAGAAGTCTGACCGATATAGTACTTTTCACAATCGGTGCATGAAAGACGGTAAACACCAGTTTTCTCATATTCTGGAGTTGAAGTCTGGGGTCGCTCTTTCAATAAAGTTCCAAGACTGTTAGTAGTCCAGAACGAAACTGTGATATTATCTTTGGCTGAAAGGTTCTTAAATTTATTGCTTAGAAAATTACCATATATCATGTCGGCTGGAACTGATACGCAGCACATTCCTCTGCATTGTCTGCCTATCTCTCTCTCTCTCTTTCTCTCCCCCTCTCTCTCTCTCTCTCTGTCTGGCTCAACATCAAGGATAGTATGAGGATCCGAAGAGAAGAAACACTCATTGACTGGCAGAGACGGTGGGAGTCTAGCACAAAAGGAAGGGAAACCTTTGCGTTCGTTCCGGATGTGAGGTTCAGAAAGAAAGTCCATTGGGAAACCGATCACTACAGGACACAGTTCGTCAGCGGGCACGGCAACTTCAAGGCAAAGCTGAAAAGTTTCAACCTCGTCGATGATGATCATTGCACTCATTGCGGAGAGCTGGAGACATCGCAGCACGTACTGATGGAGTGCCCATTCTATGAAGAAGAAAGAAGCGACATGAGGGAATTCCTCCAACAAAAGACATGGGATTGGGAGAAGATCAACTTCTTGAGAACCAAAGAATCTGCGCTGGAGTTTGCCAGAATGTGCCGAAGGATAGGGAAGAAAAAGCATGAATTTGAAAATGCATGAAGACAGGCTGGAATTTGAAAAGGAAAATGTTAGGAAAGAAAGATAAAATTAAGAAGATTGGAAAGAAAGAAAAAAAATAATCCGATGATCCTAGTACAGAGGGTACTAGGTGAGGGGAGAGGTGTTGGTTAGGCACAGAATGTGCCTGGAAGGACATGGATTGAAGCTGACAACAGGAAGAGGAATCCGAAGATATTTCAGGAAAGCGGCCTGGTGAATAAGTCTCTGACTTAAACCAAGGGTGGTGGAGGGACCGCTGGGCTTCGGCCAAACACCTCTCTGTCTGGCTTGACTTAATACAATTATTGTATTTCATGAACTCACTTAAAAATATTATTCTGAATTGAACCAAAAAGTGCAGTTATTTATTTACACACAAAACATTTAAATATCTATTATTTGACAAAACAAGTATTATTTTATTTTAAATCAATTTAAGTTTAGACCTAATTTGAGAATGCTCAAACAGTCAATTTAGAAAATTTTGCCCTTCAGCGGGGGTAGAGGGTAGTTCAAAATTTCAAAACTGACCATAATTATTGTAGGCCTAGCCCTTCATACCCAAACAAGTTGCTGCAAACCGATTTCAAATATCTCAAATAATAAAAAGTTAAAGAGGGTGCAAGTTAATTTTTTAGCCACCCTCATGGTTATTTGGATTTGAAACGTTTTAGGGCTTCATTTTGTTATTAGTGGGCCGATTTTGGTTTTCTTTATGTCAATTGTTTTGTTTCGTCAAGACCTGTAAAATGATACCAAACTCGACTATACTTCTCATTTGAAAATTTTGAGCTACCCCCTACCCCCACTACCCCTAAGGGCAAAATTTTCAAAATTGACCATAATTATTGTAGCCCCTCATATCTAAGAAGGTTGCCGCAAACAGATTTCAAATATCTCAAATGGTTGAAAAGTTAGGAGGGGTGCAAGTTACTTTTCAGCCACCCTGTATTATTCATATAAAGTCATTCAAAGAGTCCTCTCCCACTCTGTCTGTTTTATTTTTTGTTGATAATCATACAGCACATATTGTTTGTTCTCTTTTAGTGAATTTCCAATATAGGGAATATTACTGAAGTTTCCATGTTACAACTACACTTATTTATTAACTTTTGTTGCTATTACAGTAGGTCCCATGGTATGATCTAGACACAGGACTGATTCACTTATTTTGTTTTAGCATATTTCCCTTATAATAATAATGGTTTTTCCCATTTTTGGCTCTAAAAACATAAAATTTCACCATTTCTTTCCAAACCATTTTGTAGAGCTTAAAAAAAATTGTGTATAAAAGAGGGTGGTGGCCTCTTTTAAACTTGCATTGCCCGTCCACATAGACTCACCGCCCGTGCGTGGATCGTATACAGCAAAGCAAGGAGTGAGCCGGTACAGTACAAACATGATCTGTACTGATAAAATGTACCAATGGCAATGACCAGGATCCAAACCCACGACATCGCTGCCTTGGGCCCAAAGTCTGCGACGCTACCGACTGAGCCACTGACTCACTAATATTTTGTATATTGGGTGCCCATCCCCCCCAAAGCTCACGTCGCAGAATCCCCCCCAAATTTGTTGTTTAACCCATGCCGGAAGGTCTGGAGGCTAACCCATAGTTATGTTTATAATGCGGGGAGGGAAGGGGTGCCCCCGACACTTCTTTAAATTTATGGGAATTTAAGCGTTTGAATCAAACTTTTAACCTAATTTAAATGGACAATTTTCCTTTAAAACTCTAGTAGCAAACTATTTGTTAGTTTAGTTTTAATTTAAATAAGTTGGATTTTTAACATGCACACAATTTGAATCAAAATTGGCCATGTAGTTTTTTTTAATCCGATTTTCCATGAGTTAATAGGTTTAAAAAGGGAAAATCACAAAAGTTGCAATAACTTTTGAACCATAATTTTTACGGCATAGAGGGTTTATACAATTTCATAGTCATAGTCATAGTCAAAGAGTATAACATGTTAATTCTTAATCAAAATCGTTTGGGCCAATTCTGAGAAAATTTTATTCATCCATTATTTTATAGGGTTTTATGGAATATCACTATTAAAAATCCAAAATGAAAAAAAAACATCTGGAGAGACCATGGATTGGTACCTAAAATTCCAAATTTCATCAAAATCGGACTCGGACCACAGGCGTGGTCTGTAGCTCTGTACCATACATGCACACATACAGACAGACACACACATCACTTCGAAAACCACTTTTTTTGGATCAGGGTTTTTACATAAACAATTCTTTTACCATATTAAATTGTAGGGGAGAAAGTACTTGAAGTTATGTCAACAAGTTTGAGATATTTTCTAAATTGCCCTTTAATCCACTTCTGAGTTTGGTCCTTTTTAAATAAGTGTAAAATATTCAGTCTCAAAAATATTACTAGGCCTAAACATAATAGTATATTTCGTGCCTAGGGCCAAAATGAGGTTTTGCTGATTCGAGGTAGTTTTTAAGTTCGATACGAGGTCGAGGACTTAAAATGATCGAGAACTGCTAAACCATTTCAGTCCGTGGTACGAACGCTATTATTCACCACCCCACACTATACCCCATTACCACTAATTCACCTCAATGATAATGCACTGCACACTGATATAGTCAACACAACTACAACTTTAAGGTCATGTGGATAAAATAATTTGTGGAATCAGCAAAGATAATAATAAATAGTTGCTAGGCAGCGGTGACAATAAAA